CCCTATATTATCCATGTATTTTACATGTATGTCAAAAGCTGACCTGTTGAGAGGATGGCTCAATTGAAATATCATTTATTTTGTACTTCAAAGCTATGAGAGAGAATTGAGCTATAGCTGGTGTGGAAAATCTTTGTGTTGATGTCACTTGAGTTACTTTTACATGACCTTCTCATGCAGCTTCGAATAAATAAATAAAAGTGATAGCGAAGCGGAGAGCCATCCGAAGGCACTTGGTTCCATCAATGCCAATCAATTTTGTTTCCTGACCAACAGTTCGTCTAATTAGTTTTCGAGAAACGCCCAAACATGGCATCGTTTAGCGCCCATTATTCCATCGAAACGCTTCACTTCTCATCTCTTTATTTCTATTGCGATGTCGTCGGCACAAGGAAAACATCGATCGACGATCAATGTATCCCATTACATTTGTGCGGCAAATCGTTGTTGTTGACCAATGTCTCTTTTGAGAATGAACTTTTTGTATTATTCTTAGGCTAAAGGTACTGGTCTTCGCCAATGCTTTGGCGAAGACATGGTCCAGAGGTGCCAGAATCAGGACAGTGGAAGCCCCTGTACGTGAAAAGCGGAGGGACCGTCATACATACGGGTCTTTAAGACCTGCGGCATAAAATTGTCAGGTACAAGAGCTAGAGGGTGTTAGATCCACTTCATTCCGCCGAACTCCAAACTAATTCCACCGAATCTCGGAGCTCATTCACTCAGAGAATTATCACCTCTTGGAATGATTTGCCACACTCTGTCGTAAATTAGAGCTCCTCCAGCTCGTTAAGGAGAAAAGTGAAAGATCATGAGGGCTGGTTCTAAGGACGAAACTAAGCACTTTGATTTGTTGAGGCAAAGAAGCGCTTCATTCTGTTCATATTCCGGACTTATTGCTCTGGTTGAATTTACGCCACTGTTTATTTTTAAATGCTTTAATTTGTTTCGTAGCTTTCATAAGGTTGATTTTCTTTTTCTTCTTCTCCCTCCCCTCCCTTCTCCGGATAATACTTCCGTCATAGAGCTGTATTTCAGCGGGTTGGCGGACCTACAGTTGGGATCCAGAACTCTTCTTGTCGCATGAGCTTGCAGTGTTGACGGCCACAGTCCTTCTGCGCTGACTTCCGCTCCCTGTTTAAAGGAGGAATTCACGATTAGAATAAAGATCGAAGAAAGGGAATTTGACCTAGTTGAGGGATCTGCGGACCTCCTGAGGGTGCGAACTGACGCGCAATTCGCATGGAAAATTTTGACCTCGGCGACCTATCATGCCTCAAAGCTGGCGGGCTCGGCGATCTCCGCCCACCGGTCATCTGATCACTCGCCGTAGTTCAATACGTGGCGAGTGATTAGATAGCTGAGAGAGCGTAGTGTTGAAGAGGGCAACAGATATGAGAGTTTGATCAGCGCTATCGAATCACCGAACCGAAGGGTACTATCTTCAGGTTCTGGAGATTTTCCTCCATGTTCTTCTTCTGTGTATCAGTGTCCCCTCCACATCCGAGGGTTAATTTCGAATTGGGTTGCTTTCATCGTAATTCGTACTTTTAATACGGAAATTCTTAGATAGTTTTGAGCAGCAGAGTGGGCCATTACGTGACATTTCCCATTTCGGCGATCGTTCTTGATAAGAGAGCTGTGAAACAGGCGAAGAATTTTTTCATCTCGCAGTCTAACTATGGTCATCTGTAGAATTATCGGCAAACTTGGTTGTAGGTAAAGTGCGCTTCTTCCATGCCGTCGACTCAAACATCACCCTTTTCATGCACTTCGTAAAATGAATCAGATCTTCTCATTCAATGAGAAGAAATTAAAGGAAAGAGAATTTGTTGACCCAAAAATCGCTACACGACTCAGAAAAACTTTGCTAAAATGAGCATACTCAGCTTTGGTAAACTATATTTATTTACGGTGCGTTATGAATTCCAATTTTACCATCACGCCGAATGGGTGCAACTGATAATTAGCTTGCAGGCTAGGAATGGACAGATAGGTGGGACAAAGCACGTGATCCTATGTAAAATGCTTTGATTCCTTTACGCGGAAAGTGTATTCCGTTATTCGCCACAGGATCGCAAGAGATTAAGTTGGCTCGGACACGTCATGGCGATTTTGGCGAGAGGATGAACGTTGGAATAGCAGAGCGGGTTACCTTGGAGACGACTCGCTCGAGCGATTCAAACGACAACCTGAACGACCGAGCCAGGCCCGATGGTCAGACTTCTACAACGAAAGATCTGAGAAAGGAATCAAGGACCAGCTTTAGTGTCCGCTTCGAGCGGTAAGAGGAGTTCCACTCTGGACAACTCTTGCAGGCGGCGACAGGGAGAATGAGACGGCGTTTGCGGCGCCGCGCTTCGCCGGCCAATTCGATGATCAACCGGGACAACAGTAATACAGGTGATACGGGCGAAAGTGAATGAATGCTCTCGTTTTTTCGGTAACCCATTATTATGTCGTTTTGCGATGAAATCCTATAATATGTGGTTAGATACTCTTTAGCATTGGACTTGCATAAATTATTTCGCCGCCTTTCGTGTTTTTGTTCATCGTTACAGAAGTAATCTGCTGTTGGTGTGGTGAGGCGCGGCGCTACAAAATCGCGTCGTCCCACACCGGACCGAAACCGAAAAGTGGAAAAGAGGCGTCTCGTGATGACTAAGTCGGCGTGATATCAGATATACACAAAACAATGATGACATAAATCTGATTGAAAGTCGGGCCTTGCTCGGATCTAGATCCGAGCCTGCATCGGTCACGAGCATCTTTCTGTTAGCAGACCATATGAGGGACTGCTGAGTGACTGTCAAGGTGAAAGGGCGTGCCAATTGGCAAACATGGACAAAGTGTTGTATGGGCGAACCGGCCCATAATTCTGGGACGGCCATATATCGACCAGGGGATCAAAGGGACGTTAGCGTGTGCTCATCGCCACGGCATGGAAGCGCCACGTGCCTTTTGGGCTAAGGGATTCCAGGCCAGCACCGCGCGCAAGAAGCAGACGTGAGCGACGGACGAATTTCGTCGCGTGTGTGCGCGGTGGAGCCGTTGCAGTGGGCACTCTATTTGATTGCTTCGAAGCGAAATCCAACATAAGTCTCGAAGTAAGACTCAACGCGAGGGTTGACTTGCTTCGAGACTTCTACACACGTGCTGGATCCAAAGGAAGTGAGAAGAGCATCTACGATTGGGAGGATAGACGCAAGGTTCGGGAAGAGACACCTGCCGACTATGTTTGCGAGAGACGAAACTTAGCAGCGACTCCAAGTACGCAAAAATACTAAGCTAAGTTGGCAACAGTGATGATTGATGAAATCCTCCAACATCGAGTTCGCTCATGCCGCCAATCCGGGGACGGCCTTATGAAATGCGGGTCCAGTCACTTGCTTGCATAGCAGAAGAGAGTCACAAGATCAAAGCAGAAAATCGAGCGCCGGCCACAGACGTCCAACAGAAGTCTGGAAAATGAAAGGATCATGTGGCAGCTTGGATTCCATGCTCACTGCGACTTTCTCATGCATGTGTCACACTCTGGCCGCGCACTCATGCGGATTTGTAAAAGGCCTGGAGCAATCGCGCAATCTTCGCGCAGCCAGTCTATGTCTTGAGAAGACACATCAGTGCAAAAGCAAAGTCACTCCATCTCAGCTTCGCTAGAGCTTGGAAAAGCGTACGACGCGTTCCACACCACTGATCTGTATCAGGGCGCTCCGTGAAACGTAACAGAATTACGCCACAGAACGGAGTTTCATCACCTGAGATCGCGGAGATGTATATTTACCGGCCAGTGTCAGTCGTCAGATGTGCAGCTGGTCTTCAAAAGACCATTCTAATCAACCGAGTTGGCGTTCATCAAATCACCTCTCGCGTTGCTTTCATCCTCCAGCCCTGGAAAGCAATCACACAGGAGATCTTTGCAAATATGAGCTTTCACGTTGTGAGTATGGCCTGATGTTCGGCCGACGGACTTCTTCTCGGCATGTGTCCCACCATGTAGCCGCTGAACACATGGCATTCGAGTTCAGATTTGGTGCGATCGCTCTGCCAGTAACGGTCCTTATGTCCGCACTTAAGGCGAGTACTACGAACTGTTGCAAGATGAGGAATATGCAGGTCACTGGAAAGAAACTACCAAAATACCACCTGCTAAAGTTACATGGGCTTCCGCTGCAAGCCAAATGGAGTCTGAAGACGAATAAAGCGCTGAGAAACCGCAATGGATGAGAATGAGAGGAGTTTACGGACTGTCCTGTGCGCGAAGTATTCCAGTCGCGCTTAATCGAAGGTTCCGAATCTATTCCTTCCTCTATTCTGCATTATACGATCTGAATGTTGGCCGGCACTGCAATTCCGAAATGGCCAAGCAAGCACGAACCCCCACTCCCCCGCGCCAGCGTCAACCTAAAAAGACGTCGTGCAAGCCGGTGACCAAGTGCTCTTCTTCCGGATGAACAAGCTCGGAAATCAGGTTAGGTGCCGTTAAACGAACTACTCGTACATCTAAATTGTTGATTGGGTAAGTTCTCTCATCGGTCCGAGTTTCTTACTGTATTTGCTTTAGTATACTTGTACTGGGATTCATTCTGCTACACTTGAAGAAATTATTACTTGCTGATCATATGAGACACCCCACCCAACACCCCAATCACTCTGCCCCGCTGTCCTCCGCCCCATTCGTACCCCACCCAACCCCTGATATAAGCAGGACAGATTGCCAGAATTCAGCTGCTTCTTTCTTCCTCAAGTGCGCCTGAAAGCCGTCTCCCTTCCACGCTTAATGGAGATGCGGATGCTCGTGGTCCTTGGGAATCTCACGTTGCCATCCATTAGTTGCAAATGAAGTTGATTCGACGGCGCGTGGTGTTGCACTATCACAGAAAAAAATGCAGAGAGAGAACTACAGTGGTATGGTCACGTCATACGCCTGCTCCTGATACGTCGGTGCCACTGCATACCGATTTGAAGTTGACAACACACCGCGCGGTGAAGACCCATAGATGGAACGCACAGCGCGAGCGAAGATGCATCTGAATCGAAAAAGTGAGCCCCCGCCTACTTCGATTCGAAACGGACCTAGCCAGCGCGACGTGAAGAATAGAAGAAAAGAAGAAGACAATCGTCTGGTACCAGTTAATCCGACCCCGAAAAGGGATGGAAGGGCTTGGTTGGGCCCTCCCGGAGCGAACAGACCAAAAAAAACACCGCCCACACGACAGAAGATTCGCCACTCACGTCCACCAGGTATATGATCCCGGACGGTCGCAGGTGCGCGCGGCCACTTGCCACTACACCATCTTCCGCCCTCATTAGCGATATAGCGAGAAAAACGTTCTGAAAGCTGTGCAAGCTTGTTGGTGCTCTGACTGTTTTCTAACCAGAAAGCGTTAGTGACAGCGTTGCGGCAGAGAGATCAGGTCTTAGCGACAACCACCCCCCCCCCCCAGAGTGGTATTCATAGAACATGGTCAATCATTTGTTCGCACTCGAAGTCGAAAAATGAACAAATTCTTTTGTTCCTACTGAATTGAAGTGTGGTCTCCTGATGCAATTTGGAAGCAGTACCGGGAGGCAATATCGGCTCTGACGCAAGCTTGTTCGGAGTTTTCAGTACACAATAGCTGTTATCCTCCATATTTTTAGAAAGTGAGAAGATTGGAAAATAGAGATTTCGTAAGACATTTATGACGCGCCGACCGTCAGAGCATTCCAGCCATTTTGTGAATGAACATTATGATAATACAGTCTGCCTTTGTTTGACACGTCTACATATTGTTGAGTGAGTAATAAATAGTGAGTTACTCACAGTAAGCATGGACTGTCGCGGAACCGCCGTAACCAGACAGCAGTACTAATCCGATGTTTGCAATCCCTGGATTCCAGCCTGCAATTACTGATAACTTTAAGAATTGAATTGAAACGCTTCGAGGCCGGTTCTATTTCACGTACGTCTCCTAGCAAGAACTGCCCTGCTTTCGGCACCGCTAATATGGGAAAATGGCATGGGTTTACCGCCAGTGCTTTAAAACTATGGAAAATTAACTCTACTCAGGCAGCTAGTCAACGAATTCGGAAGATGGGTTGCAGCAAATGAACCTCATCAGGTGTTTAGGACATTCTGTCCCTTTGCGTTCAGCAGGCAACGGACTAATTAAGATCACAATCCTTCCGTGCTGTAATCAACCAAAAGACGAGAGCTCATTGAATCGAACATCTGCGAAGAGGTCACGATAATAAGATTTTTTCGCCTTCAAAACTCAGTATTTCCGTTAAACGCCACTCACGGCATCTACCCCTCACCAAAGGTAATATTTGACAATTCAAGGTGTCTATAATTGCTCCACAGTGCAAGGAGAAAAGTTAATTATCGAAGAATTGGCACAAATGCAAAGTTTACGCCGCAATATTATCTCTTGTATTAGTTTCTGACCGAGTTTTCGCAATTATGATTGAAGGCAAAGCTGATGAGCTGATGTAGTATTGCGCATTGAAGTAACAGACAGTATAATGTAGTGTTAACAGCCGGCAATGGAAAATTGGAAAAGCAGTCCGAAAGCTGAAATAGAAGGATCATTTTTCCAGATCATCAGCAACGCAAAGCAATTGATGCGTGGACGGAGCTCATCGCGTTTGGGCAGGGCAGCGCTGCTACTAGGACTCAGCGCTACAGCCCTGTCAAGTTATTCGAAAGCTCATAAGGTGCTTTTTGCGCTTGGTGCACGCTTTGCATTTTCTCTGTCGAAAGCTTAATATTGACGGCAACAGTTCGGATCCATTTCTCTTAAAGGCTGCAGCCAATAAGATTCCAAACTAAACGCTTTGTTCGACTACGGAAGTGTTGCCACGAAATATCCAACACAGACCTCTGGTGTCACTGTGATAGCAGATTGAAGGCAATTTCTCGGCATAAAAAATGAGTACCGCAGCTCTCACCACGTGGCGATAGCAAGCGAAGCTGTAGCCATACTGGACCGATGGAGTCTTAAAAGAGCGGGAAATTTTTATTGCTGCTGCACAATTGCAGTAGACTTATTCTTATTATTCATTCACACAGGTACCATATGCGTTGCGGCACAAATTCCATTTTTTAGAACACTTACCTTTTCGAGGGATACGGTAGATGGCCCACACTATAATTACTATCAATGTCTTTACCCATATGTTAATGCTACCACCTACATCCTCATCAATGATGGAGTTAACAACAATGGAAAAGTGGTGACTACCCCGTCGGACTCAAAATACCGCGGCTCATAGTCTCGTACTCCAGAGAGGATATACGACAGACGAAATCACTTATAATACTAAATATAAAGTAGACAGAAATTATCAAATTTTTCGTAAGCAATACACATTCGATTATTAACTCTAAGATTTCTAACTTTACACTAACCGGAGCAATTGCAATTTGAAACATGATTTTTACTCTGATATACTCACGCTTACTCTACCTTGTGATACAGATCTGAAAAACTAAACTTGAAAGCATTAATTGAGCATAATATCATTAGAAAGTTTATCACGTTTTTTACAATTAGTTTCATCGAAGAAACACAAAACTATATTGAAATATTAAAAGTTTTTCTCCTTGAGGCGTATTTTGCAGGATGTTGTGGTATGTATTCCAGATATTTGAAAATCGATGACCGATTCGTTACGATTTTCGTGCCACCGCGAACTTTTGACCATCAACATTCATACCTTCTATCGTTATCAACTTTATATAAAATGTATACAGGCTAATTGAACTAGAAGGGGACACTCAACAACGATCAGGCCTCCACCCCATCAAGCTGACTAACACCCCCGACATACGTAATCGCTATCACACGATATAAACCAGGAAGTGTAAGAGCTTTTGAAACACAGTCAAGCTCCATCTACGTAGGGCGATCAGCAAGCACCGCGACTGGCAACCCAGCTTTCGAACGCCACCTGCAATTTTCCAAAAGATTCATCTTTTTCAAACCATATACGTCCGTTCCGTTCTTAGCGTGTTTGGGGTCCGTTTTTTGAGAAGGCGCGAGTTTTCCCGCCAAGTATACTTGTACGATACCTCAACATTTTGGCAGATCTCTAAAAGCTAATTGGAAACATAGGGATTAGAGCTTTCGAATCTGTGCTGAACTTTCTTAAATTCACTCGCGGCTCAAAACTATCGTAACCGTTGTTCGTCGTTACCAATCTTCGATGAGTATTTCTCAAGGCCTTTTCCTGACACAGGACTATGCGTCTCACCCTGAGGCCATAACTTGCATTTATAGATGTGATGCAAGCGTAAAGAGTTGTTTGGCCATCTCACACAAAGAGTATATTTCATAACAACATGTGAACTTTCCCTGAATTTCCTCTTGCTTGCGCTCGAACTTGGTGTCATACAGGCGTTTCTAGACTCAATTAGTCAAATTGCTCTGCATACACTTTGATTCGCTTATGATTTTATTTGAAAGACTTCAAACTCTCTTCAGAAAAGTTTAGTCTGCTTTACGGCCCTGCTGTACAGAGGAGCGTTTTCTAGAAAACGCTTTGCTGGCAGTTTCGCCGTGCCCTATTGATGGCAATTCGCACTCGCGCCTGCGAGAAGCCTTTGTTTTCGTGACGAAGTTCGTTATTATCCCTCGATTGGAGTTGCATGTGCTGTTATACGGCCACACTCTGTTTCCTTTCCCCAGAACTGCTCTAGCATTCACCTTGTCTCCTCGGATTTTAGGAATTCTAGTCCACATCAAAGACGACCATGGTTTTTCTGCACTGACACTGTAGCATAAGTTATTTGGTTATTGTATTGATCTAGGGACCGCGGAGCAAAGCGCGTCGAATAGCGTCGATTTAAAGAATAATAACTGTGGTGAGACTTATATTTTCCACTGCTGTGCTGTTGAATCTTCAATCTCTCATGGAGACTCCATTGCTGTGGTGCACTCATCCGAACGCGCTGCATAGCTCCTGAATCATTAAGAGGCTGGAAGTGCACTCCAGACCCTGCACTTTTAGCCGCCTTGCAGCCGCTCGTGGTGCGTCACCACTCCCTTTCCGGCGGCTGAGTATACGCCCCTCCTCGTGTTCTTTTGGCGCAACGCAAGGTTGACCCTGTCTCCCACGCAACCGTTAACCACAGCAAGTCACTAGAACACCAGGCGACAGTGCGAGCATTGCTATTAGATTTTCAGTGACTCATTTGCTGATTTTTTCCGGTGATACCCATTGAAAGACGTAGGGAATAACGGTTAGGAAAAAAGGTTAATCTGCAAACAGTGAAGATTAGAGCATCATAAACAAACAACTATTTCTTAATAAGCCTTGCAACGGTATTCAAAGTACCACGATCGCGTTGCAAATTGATACGAAGCACCAATTGTCTATCTATGGAACAGATTGGCTGCAACAATGTAAGAGGCGGCAGAGTGGCAATTGCAGACTCCCGAACGAGAAATAGTCCGGTACCTGGCGAAACTTGATTACACTACGCAATCTTCATGGCCGAAATGGAAAGATAAGCAATTTTCACTAACCAACATCGTACTTTGCAGGATACATTGCTATGGCTTTTCGCACTCAGCGCCCATTCTTTGTTCCTATTAGCATGAAGCGTCCGCGAAAGTAGCACAGCATCGAGCGTTTTACTTACCTCCGCTTGACACCAAGAAACTGAGTTGCAAAAAATAAATGCAAAACATTGCATAAATAAAATAATAAAATATTGCATTGCAATGAGTGTCTTTCAATTTGCTATGCATGTCTCCCATGGTGTGTTTCTAGGTGAGGACGCTTTTGAAATGCTCTGTAGTTGATGAACCAAGGAGAGTCCAATATTTTCTTGGCCCGAGAGTTTACTGTCGCAGATCGAGGGCCTCGTAATTCCTGTTCGAGTAGTCGGGATTTTGAGATTTGGTGAGGTGAAAAGGTGGAGCAGAATAGTTTTCGATGAAGAAGTAAAGAGTGGTCGTCTTACAGAGTTTCTGCGATTTTTTGATGTGATTTGCTGTTGAGAAAGACGGCATGAAGTTGGAAAATATGCACGAAGTAAGGATTTCTTTACTCGGCACCCTACCCCCACTGCTCCGCCCACCCAGTCAGCGCTCGGTCTGGAGGGGGGGGGGGGCGATGGGACGATTTTGGATGTAGCTGTATCGGTTCTCGAATCAGATGTGCTCGGATACAGCCATGGTGGCTGGTGGTGGTGGCATTGGACGGGGATCGTATTGAGGAGGCCCTCCAAGGCCATTGTGTGGTGGTAGAGGTGGGTTCTATTTGACGAAATCGAATGTGATAGAAGAATGGACATATCTATTACGATCTCGAGCCTGCTAAGGAGTTTCAATACGATACGTCTGTACCGCAGCCCATCAGACTCTTATTGAGTCATATGATATCTAATGGAAGTATTCTGAGAGTCCTTACTAGGTATCTAGAGTAAATTTCTCCAACAGGATTTTAATGGTTATAATAATGGGTCTTTCAGACTTGGAAAGATGTCTGTCTCCTTTCGGCTTTCCTCATTTCTCATAACTTCTGATGGCACTATCCTATTTCTGTATCGCTCTTCTCCTAATCTCCTCGTTGTCTTCTCTAAGCCCTGTATAGCGACCAAGTACCCTCTTAGTTCTTTTCTTTTGACTGCTCATCTCTTTCAGCGTGCGACGACGCACCGACCGCTTCAGGGAGAGCGTCTAGGCAGCAGGCGCGAGACGCGACTTCTTCCTCCTCTTCTGACTCGTTACTCACCATTCCGAGGGCGACGCTCCGCTTAAAACACAAAGAGCTTATTCGCATCTGACACGTTCTCTCATTAGCCTTCGTGCCGCACTCTACGATGTGTTCCGTTAGTCGATGTATTTGTAATGTATTCATGTTTCATCTGATCATTGATCTGTTTGATGTCTTTAAGGATTAAAGTTAGTGATCAACTTCGCTTCGATGCAAGATGACCGCAGCATTTTCACGGCGCCGCGCTGGCTTAGCTCGCCAATCTTAAATCGGTGGTCTGACGATCGACGCCAATTGATCCAGGACTTTTTGTTTTCATCATGATGCGGTGCTTTATAAATCTTTCGGACTTTATCGGTATTGTCGGCCGTCTTTCTGAAGCTTCCGCAGTGAATTTTTTTATGAGGTGTTTGCAATTGCCTAAGTTGTTCAGGGAACTGTCTTCACGTTAGTCGCAAAGGAAGCTACGTGGGAGGGGCTGCTGTCAAACCTATCCTTATGGGCCACGTAGTAAGTATTGTCAGTGCAGGTTGGGAAGTTCACTGTCAGCAGNGTAGAGTGAGTAGAGTGAAGAAAGGTTTCAGTTGGGGTCATAGTCCACTCCGTTTTCGTTATTTTCCGCGTCAAAAAAGCAACTCCGTCCAAAAATGGATTTCCGAAGTTGACCTAATTAGGGGGAAATGGGTATCAAAATAATCAAAATCCCCTTAAGAGCACACTAGTCTCACTTTGTTCTATTTCTTGATCTATTTCTCAATGAAAAAAGCCATATAAGGTTCGCAAAATACTTCAGTGGGGGTTGTTTCCCTCTGGTTATAATTATAGCGAGCGATGTCTCTAATGAGTAGCCGGCACTTTGGAATTAAAAAATTGAATTTTCTGAAATTTGGGAAGGCAGGCTTATAGAAATCGACGAGCTGAGTTCAACGGTATGAATTTCCGTGAAGGAAAGTGTAAAGTAACAAAGTTATAGCGAAAAGACGAAAAAGGCGCGGATCCGCGTCTTCTTTTCTCTCGTCTTTTTTACCAAAGTTATGGAAGATACTGTAGCTCCTATCTCTTTTTCTTACAAGTGAACTTTCAGGGTATTCCATTGTGTTCGTTGTGAGTTAATTGCTTTTCTTTTTGCTTAGTATTGTTCACAGCGCTGCTTTGAAGGTTCTTTTTATGTGCTCTTGCACGCGTTTTTTGAATCCTTGGGTTTTGTGCTCGTCCCAATTTCACCGATTTTAGTGAATTTTCTCACTTGTCCTTGTTTACGTCTCCAATGAATAAGCAAATAAATAGATAATCAAACAGTTAACTAAATAACTAAATAAATAAAAGATAAAATGGCAGTTTTAGTCATTGAGGGCACATCCAGGATAAGTTCAAATGGTTCATTCATTTAAAGGATCGGAGAGAGCTGTACACGAAGGTTGCGAACGTTTCGTTCTTCCGCTTCCACAGCGGGCAATAAAGGTGTAGAGCGCTGCGATGACCGCTTCAACCGCTTCCATTTTTTCACGACAGTAGCACACTGGTGTCTGCGCTCACTCCGTGTTTTGTGCTCCCTGCCAACTCATTTTCTTCGTGCTCAATCTCTTATTGCCGTAGTACAAAAGTGTGCATGGCCTCAATTTTAACGTTTCCGACGGATTCGTTTCGTCTTTTCTTTACAACGCTCTCATTTTCGTGTTGAAAGTCGCACCAGGGTGGTCCTAAAGTGCACCTTACACAATTCTCCGAGAGGGTTTATCTGTCCATATTCAAGCTCCCTACTATTCTGAAAAAACACCAAACAACGGAGCAATTTGAGCGATAATATGTGCAGCCTCTTTAGTGTTTGTTGTTGTTTTTCCACCCATTGATCGCTCTCTCACTTTGATGTGTTTTGTCGTGTAGCTTTATAAACATTAAGCTAAAATGTGGCAGAAATGGACGAAATTTCTCTGTTTTCTGAGCGTACGAGCTTCTTCGCTCCTCATGAAGGAATAGATAGAGATCAGGTTTGTAGAGAAATTCTCCCCTTTAGCGAGGTACCAGTAATCTCACACAAAGGGATAGTGGTGCTTTCGCGGCTTGAAAATGAAGCTAATGCCTTTGCTTGACCGCTGTGACAGCTGGCATTCTTATCAATCACGGCATACGTGGTATCTGCGCCCTCTCGCGTACAACGTGCTCTCTCGCGTTTTCCTACTATTAGCAGCGCTGCGTCTCTCCGTCACACCACGGATAACCTCACGAGAGAAAATTTCAGTGTTTTCTATGATGCCCCTTTCCCTTTTGCCTTCCTCCCAGTAGTATTCCTCATAGCACCTCCTATCTATTTTCAAACAAATTAACACACAAGTTTGGCCAGCGGCCTATGCCTTTAAGTAACTTCGAAGTGAGCAAAATTTTCTGTTTTCGTCCATGAGCGGTGCAGCTAGCGGGATCTTTGCAAGCGTTTGTCAGTATAACTAGAAATAGTGAATAATGATACAACGTTTTCAGAAACATGCTCATAATCATAAGTTCTTTTGGCTTCCTCACAACTACACTCGCCTCGTTAACTAGGGGTAGCTATTCAGACGAATTCGCCCGGACAAAAATGCTGCCGTTGGCAGCAGCCGCCTATAGTGGCCAACCGCAAGAATGCCTTGAGAATAGATTTACTAATGCTACGGTGAGCAGCGTCGTTTAGCATTTAAAAAGTGAGCAACACATGATTTTCAAAAATTTGTATTCGCTTTTCAAGCTCAGCCTGCAATTGAGCACCATATGTGGGCCTTCCGGTAATAATGATGTATGTTCTGGATTCACGGCTGTGATTCACAGCAGCAAGGCTATTGTTCTCAGTTTCAGGTTAGGGCTACTCTACTTGGGGCTTGTAGGGGAGTAGGGGATGGGACAATGAATGCGGTTTAGTGTCTTTGTTTCAGGGGCACAACCACAAATGTTCAACTGGCAGCCGAAGGAGAATTGAGTGTTCTGCATGTAAAGGTGCTTCTTAAATATCGAAGGACAACGGCTCACGTGCGCTGACAAACACAAACGTGGCCCCATAAGGAAAGGTTTGAGCATGCCCCCTCCCAGAGCTTTCCTTTGCGGACTCACGTGATCAGTTCTCTGAGCCACTTATGCAATGCAAGACCTCATAAGAAATTTCACTGCGGAAGCTTCAGAAAGACAGCCGACAGATACCCGAAAAGCCGAAAGATTTATAAGCCGCATCATGATGAAAACAAAAAGTCCTAGGAGTAATTGGGTCGTGTTCATACACACGACTTCGAAGATTAGGAGAGTAAGCCAGCGCGCGCCGTGAAAGCTGCAGGATCATTCTCTTGCTATCGAAGGAAGTTGATTACTAACTTTCATCCTTAAGACATCAATACAGATCAATGATCAGATAAACATGACATACATTACAAATACATCGAATAACGACACATGGTTAATAGTGCGCACGAAGGCACAATAGAGAACGATCAGATGGAAAGCAGCTCTTGGCGTTTAGGGCGTCGCCCTCGGAAGGTGAGAAACGGAGGTCAGAAAGAGGAGGAAGAAGTCGCGGTCCTCGGCCGCTGCTGCCAGACGTCTCCCTGAGTCGGCGGTGTCGCTCGTCTACACCCTGAAAGAGATGAGTCAGCCAAAAGAAAAGAACTAAGAGGGTACTGGTGATCGCTATACAGGAGATTAGGAGAAGAGAAGGAGAGATTAGGAGAGGGCGATAACAAAAAAGGATAGGGGATCACAAGATGATTAGATCAGGATAGCCGGAAAGTAGACATTCCGCTGAAAAGACTAATCAGTAGCAATTAAAGTCGTTGGAGGAAAAATTCACTAGATTACGCTAGTAAGGGATTAGGAATACTCCATTTACCATCAGTGAATCAGATAAGAGCTGGTCTGGGTACAGACGTATGTATCGAGAACTCTCTAGGAGGCTCGATCTAAATACGATACGACCATGTCCTGATCCATCAACTCTCGTCAAATCGACCCACGCTCGACACCACCACCATCGGCCTTGTGAGGGCCTCCTCAATACGGAGCCTCGGCCCAATCCCACCACCACCAACCACCATGGCTGTTTCTGTAACACCTGATTCTGAGACCAGTACAGTACAGGCTCACTTCAAAACTTACGATCACAAATTTCCCCCCCCTCCCTCAGATTAAGAAGCCATAGGACTGGGGGAGGTACTAGAAGCTGAGGAGGGAAGGGGTGTCTGGTGAAAAAACAAAATCCCTAAATTTTATTTGTACCACTTACAATGCTATACTTTCTATTAAAGATCACCAGACAGAAATTGCCAGAAAAACATCAATCAAAAAAACGAAACCTCACCTCCATCTATCCAATATTTCAGGGCGTCAACCCATATCGTGTTCGTTAAGCTTTGGACATTTTTTACGAACCCCTATCATGGAGATGATATTAAATAACGACACCACCACTTGGCAGTGTTAAGAACACTATGTGTTAGAGACAAGTAGTTACACATAAATAATATTATTTCTAATGTAGTCATCAAGATGAAAACTCTAGCAATCCAACGACAGACATTCATCGCTGCATTCCAGACACAGAAAAAAATGAGATCAAATTACATGTTCCGTAGTATTACAAAGGGTATTACCAAACTAGGCGATAGAAATAAACTGAAAACCAAGTAGACACGAGAATAATGAACAGTAATTACTGATGAAACAAACTTATTGCAGAAGTGAACAACAAATTAATCGACTACCAGAATTGACAAATACTGAGAATCAACTTAACGTGTCATTCACTTAGAAACACACTATTTAACACCACAAATCCTTTTAGGCAATATAAACTTCTTCATATCGAGACTTCTGACACGCACGGAGTGATAATTGCATTGAAAAAATATCAAATTAATTCTCTATCCAACTTAGAAGGTCAAAAATTCTTCAAAAAGGAATTGAACTTATCAAACAAATTTTAGTTGTAATGCTTTACTTATATTTCTGTCAAAAGGGCGAAATGACATTGAACCTTCACACGAATCATAGCGTATCCTTAAAAGTAATCCAATATTGTGGACAGACCTAAACACGTATAATTGAAAGTGCTACAAGGCATTCAAGCTTATCAACGAGCACCCAAGCAATTCTTTGAAAAAATACAGCATTTTTAAAATTTAGCTTTCGTTGTTACTTATTTCTTTTGTGGAGGTATCTATCAAGCCGAATTTTTCTCAGAAAACAGACAAGAGATTTCTAATAGTTATGCACTGCCAAGTAAACTTCTGGAAGACAAATTTTATTGTTTGATCAGGATGTGCAGAACTCGAAGCAGGCGCATATCACTACATCCATAATGCCTTTGGTCGCGCCACGCCGGAGCGCCCTTTAATACGCTGATTCATCGAAAGACTCATTTACGAGTGGGAGCGTATGTATATATAGGTGCCTTTAAGTAACAGTCATTCATATAACGAAAAACAGTAAGCACATTGCCTAATTATCCGATAATTCAAACAAGAAATCCACTAGTCGGCCAACGACGGGAATAACGACCACCCCATCCTCCAACTTAGAATTACTCGGTAACCACGAGGGAGTTGACACCTGCTTTCACAATTTACAACTACTCACTCATTCAACCTCTTACACTCAACCAAATCCCGAATATCCCCTTACTCCAAAAAACTCAATTACGAGCCCCATGAGATCTGCGCACGGTAAACTCTCTGTCAAAGATAAATAAGGTGAATGCTCCTTGCTTCACCAACTACAGGCATATTCAAACGCGTCTCACTATAACACACCACGGGGAGGAATGCATGGCAAATTTTGAGAGAGCACTCAATGCAATGCAATTATTTGTCATACATTGCCGACTCAGGTCCCGTGGTTAATGGGAGGTGAAGTTTCGCTGTACTTTCGCGACGCTTTCATGACTTTGTGGAACAAAGGAATGGGCGCTGATTTCGAAAAGCTCACAGCAATGTATCCTGAATACGATGTTTGGGTTAGTGAAAATTGCTTATCTTTCATTCGGTTATCGAAAGTTGCAGTGACCAATTTACCAGGTGACCGGACATTCTCTTGGAGCTGCTTTGGCCACACTGGCCGCCTCTTACATTGTTGCGGCCAATCATGTTCCATGTAGCAAGGTGTTTGTGATCACATTTGGGCAACCACGAGTTGGTGACTCTACCTTTGCAAGGGCTTATGAAGAAAAGGTGATTTTTTGTGCTTGATTTCACTGCTTGCAGATTTACCCTTTTCCTACCGTTTTTTCCTACCTCCGTCCAACTGTGAATTACCGAAAAAATCAGCAAATGAGTCACTGAAGTTCAATTGAAAGGTGTGTCGCCAGTATTTCAGTGACTTTCTTGCTGGTTAAGGTTGCGGTGGGAGATGATAAAAGGTAAAGGCTACGTGCATTGTGCAGTAGCAAAAATTTTGCCTGCTTTCAAGACCTCCTCTGTTTCCAGATGGGCTACAGCTTTCGCGTTACGCACTGGAGAGACTGGGTTCCTCATATTTTAGCCGAGAAATTCTTCAACTACTATCACCATTCACCAGAGGTCTGTGTGATTTTCAGTGTCAGCACTTTTCATAGCTGAACAAAAGGATACGTCATTTGATCTTGGAATCTTAGTTGCTGCAGCCTTAAAGGGAAGGTCCGGGATTTCTGGTAAAATTAAGCTTTTCCCCTAAAAAATGCAGCGGTACACAAGCGGAAAGCATACAGAGCTTTCGGGATAACTTGACAGGGGTGAGGCCCTGATGTCCTAAGATGCAGCACTGGCCCTGCCCAACGCCGTTGAACTCGCTCACAAATCATTGCTATTTTGCGTTGCTGCTACTGGAGAGAGGGTTTTATTCTCGGCATTGTCGACGGTTTCTTCCCATTTTTCCATGCTGGCGTTACACTACACAAACTCCTGGTCACTTGCATGCGCAGTAATACATCAGTTCGATCGCGGACTTTGCCTTCGGTCAAATTGAAAACTGGCAACAATATAAATAGTGTGCTGGACAAGGGCAACTGCACCTACTACAAGGGGAATTATGCCCCAAGGCACGTGACGCTTCCATTGCCTGTGACGACTGAGCAACGCCTTACTCGTCCCTCTGATCACCCCTTCGCTAAGCCACTCCAGAACATGGCCCGTCGCTCTCGAACTTGAGCCGTTTTAGCAGAGAGGCAGACCGGAGCGTTCACCTTAACACATTCACGTCAGCAGCCCATATGGCGTGCCAAAGAAAGGTGCTCATGGAACGATGGCCACATAGGCTGCCAGCCGAGCAGCTCGCTCGCCAGTCGTTTATGTCGCCATTGCTTGTGTATATCTGATATTAGGCACGTATGCTTTATTTAGGATAGTTTTTCTGGGCCGTGCATAACTCTTGTTTCAACACATTTCTCTTTTTCTTCCTGTTTCTTCTCATATGAATGAAAAGAGTGTCAGAAGTAAAGAAAAAGCGTTACTAATAGAAAGATAAGTGGGTAAATTGAAACAATCGAGTTAAGAATGCTTTTAGTTTTCACTTCGAGGAAACTTATGGATGTTCCCTTCCACAACCACTATTGGTCGTTTAAATCAAAATTCTGCTACCACGGTACTCGCCTTAAAAACTGCAGAATTCACGCGAAAACGCAATTTCACGTCGTTTTATTCGTATTTCTGTTATAACTCGGTTCAAAATTGAGCTTTCCAAGATCAGAAAACGATTTGAGTTCAGCTCGTTGAGTTCTATTAGAATGTAATCTCACCTTCTCTAGAGGCACCATCTTGGATTGCGCCATGCACTCGACTTTCATCCCAAAACGTAGTTGCTTGCTTGTGATGTGTATATGATCCCGCTTCTGCGAACTAAGCTATTCACAGAGAGATGGGTCTCAAAAGTCGCCCAAAATGCGCCACGTACTCAATCTAATGCACTAACTATTAGGTTCTCTCAAGAGCAGTATCGCTTCTTTTCAAATAAAAGTTTTCTACTAAATCCTCAGTCTTTTACACCACTTCATGAACCATTCGAAAAAAATGTTTGCTCTAGCAGGATGGGGTGCGTGACTATACAATCGTGGCCGTGAAGTAGGTGCGCCGCGCGGGGCACGCCGCAAGCCAGCAATATCGCGGCGAATTTTGCCAAAGAACTCAGGCATCCAAGCATTGGGATTACGATCAGATTCATGTTTCCCGTCATTGAAACATGAAAAAATAAGAAACTTAAACCTTAATAATGCAGTTTGTTTCCGTCGCGCGTTATATACATACTTATATACTCATGCTTTGTTAGAAGCCTTCCTCGCCGCTCCTTGTTCTTTGATTACGACAAGTATACTTTCCGATTGAACCAGATGATTCACTCTCCGATAGAATCAGGAAACTATTAATAAAGAAGTCAAATTGAAATCCTAAAAGGAAACCTTTATCACCCGATACAGTATGTTACTGGCGACGGCTTAAATCACTCGGGATCTTACGTGACGCTTGTGGCTTCTATGATGCCGCACTCTGTGTTATCAGTCACCTCGCCAAACTATGAGCATGGATGGATAAGAAAGGTCCACACAGAAATGCGGCAGCAACTGCGCACGCGACGCATTCTCGCCGGCGTGAAGCGCGTGACCTCGATTCGCCGACGATTGATATAGTCTGTCGCACTACAGGATGGTGTGTTCTTCTTCCACCATGTTCCAGGTTTTTCAAATTTTGGGCCTGCGAAATGGGAGGTCCAGCCGACAAAAACTGACCAAACAGACAACTATGTAGCTCTAACTTCATTTTCCTTGGGGAGACATTAGTCAATGATTTACCTTCTACTTACACATGTCCTCTTCTGAACATTCCACTCTTAGGTTGCCGGAAAAGCTTATCGTTAGCCGTGTTTCTTTTCGACTTGGCTGACCGATAAGCCAAAGCAATTTTCAAATTAAAATTGTACCTCGTAAACTCCATTGTTTCATATCGAGTGGTGTTCCTTTTGTGAGCACTTCTTCTGTTCTATTCGATGATTTGTTTTGTTCCTATGTTTGTTGGGAATTAGTTCGAATCCACGAAAGTGACCGCATTCCGTTGAAAAAAATTATCCCTGAGAAGATGAGAAAATCAACCAGGCGTACATTGCTAACTTAGTCATGACTTGTTCTTTAAATTTTACTAGTTTTCCAATGTCTCGGCTATAAAAAATTTCGACAGAGATCTCAGGTAACGGTGCTTGACCGTCGAGTTCCGGTTGAAAAACCAGGTCTGGAAATGGAACGACGCAACTTGTTCGGAAACTTAATAGTGTAAGTTTAAAAGAGGTCATGTTTAGGTAGAGGGTACATCATTGATTGATTTTTCCCAAGGAAAGATAAAGTTAGAGCTAGTTGTCGGTTTGGTCAATTTTTGTCGGCTGGACCTCCCATTTCGCAGAGCTAAAATTTAAAATCCTTGGAGCAGAAGTGGAAGAAGAACATAGCGTCTTGTAGAACAGACAATTCTCCTTCGAATGGTATATGATGCGATGTAAAAGCATGGGATTTAAGTGAAAATTTTTTGGTTGAATAAAAGCGACACACTTATGAGACAACCTAAAACGTTGTGAGATTGAATGAATGTTAATTCTGACTCCATAGATACTGTCGAGTGAGATACAACACTGTTCGCAACCAAAGATTTACCTTTCACCGTTTTCGGCCTTTCACTCACTGCCGGTCGGCCTCCCAAGCCACTTACGGCCACGTGCAATCCAAGTGCGCGGTGCGTGAGAACTTGCGTGACGGCCGATGGCCTTCAGCCGTAGTTGGCGGCAGCCCGATCAATAGCTCGCTATGGCTGTTGAACGAGCTTGGGAACGGCGTCACACGATTTACGGTCACGTGGATCGCATGTGTCTGTAAATGGCTTGCGAAGCTGATGGGCAGTGACTAGAAGGCCGAAAACGGTAAAAAAAAATAAATTTTAGGTTGAGAATGGTGTTGTATAGCATTCGATAGTATTTGTTCTTGGGAATCGAGCAGTACACATCTCAGCTTTCGAAGCCCATCTTGAAAGGCAAAGTCTGATCATTTTACAAGGGCATGACGAAAGGAGATGTTTGAGGCCACGGCACGGAAAAAAACTTACCTACAACCAAGTGTTCCATGTAATTCCTACAGAGAAGTGACCGTAGTCTACGCCAGTGAAAGAAATTCTTTGCTGTCTTCACAGTTTTCTACAAAACGTCTCCTCCAAAATGGGAAGTGTCACATAATTGGCCTACTGTTCCTGATCGAAACTAATCTTAGGAGTTCCGTTGAATAGAGAGAATGGGATTGAGCGCAAATAAAACACGCTCAACCAACTAGTGCTTTGAAATGAAATAATGATCCAAGAATTTGGAAAATCACATTCATTTAATCCCACAATGTAGTGAATCAGATTGAGTACGTGGCGCATTCTGGGGCAAGTTCTGAGACCCATCTTTCCGTGCGGCAGTTAGGTAAGCGGTCACATAGGCGGGATCATGTACACATCACATGCAAGCAACTACTTTTTGAGATGAAAGTCGAGTGCGTGGCGCAATCCAAGATGGTGGTTCTAGGAAACATGGGATTGCATTCTAATAGAACTCAACAAGCTTAACTCAGTGTGGTTTTCTGGTTTTGAAAAGCTGTATTTTTAATCGAGTAATAGCAGAAAAACGAATAAAATGTGAAATCGCGTTTTTCGCGTGAATTTTGCAATTTTCACGTCGAGCACCGTATATTTCACTACTATCATATGACTTTTACGCATTAAACGCTGCTAAAAGTAGTCTCCATGTCGTCCTTTGTTGAAACCTCGGCATTTGATGTTGAGTGTACTGCAATAGTTTTTGTACTGTGCGGCACAACGAGGTTTTTTAAGATGGAATTTTTATTTACTGGCCTTACGTTTCGACCGCTTCGTCTTCTTCAGAGGCCTGGAGATTGTCTAAAGCTTTTTGATTTGTAAGCTACTCGATCAACCGATTCTAGTATTCTCGACGTCATAGAGCGTCGAGAACACTTTCGAACACTCAGTGATGAAGAAGTAACTCACCCAAGATTCCACCGATGCGGAGCAGTAGCTCACGCCCTGTGTTGGTTGATGTCAATGAAGCAAATGAGCTCTACTCAAGTCTCGCAGTGTCATATATGTCAAAATCTGTCAATTTGCACGTGGCATCATAGCTCTGCTCTAGCTCACTTTGAAACAAAAGGCAAGAGCTCATTCGTAATCGACGGACATTCGTTTCGGCCGTTCATTCTAGGCTTTTTGCCGGCAGTGTTCGGAAGTGTTCTCGACGCTCTATGACGTCGAGAATACTAGAATCGGTTGATCGAGTAGCTTACAAATCAAAAAGCTTTAGACAATCTCCAGGCCTCTGAAGAAGACGAAGCGGTCGAAACGTGAGGCCAGTAAATAAAAATTCCATCTTAAAAAACCTCGTTGTGCCGCACAGTACAAAAACAATTGCTGCTAAAAGTATTCAATCACAAATTCAGGTTTTTGTTTATTTAGGACGTTCCAGAGTTTCCCGCACCCAGCCTTTCTTTCTCCATTCTTTAAATAATTGCATTGATTTCACA